CCTTAGGTATTAATATTAATAAGAATAATATGGAAGATATGTCTGGAATTTCATTTTTGTTCGTTTTATTGAGTAGGTACCAGATTGGTCTTCTTCATTCGGTCTTGTTTTTAGTCTTGGTCTTACATGTATAGGTAAACAGAGCCTTGGAAGACTAAGACCAATTTTGCTCATTACTAATACTTTTACTTTGTCATTAAATACTGTTTTGTTTTAATAAGTTATAAGTTAATCGGGATGCAAGTTGAATATGAAGCAAATAGACGTGTTATATGTCTACTTACGATTAGAAACTGCGATGTTTATAGGATATTATTGTTTCAAGTGCGTTTAAATAAATTGTAATCATTCTGATTAGTAGTTATACGAAATAAGCAGGATGTCCGGTACGAAGGGTTTTATCCTTCTAACGTTAAGCTATACAGTGATAGTCATGTAGCAGAAACGAATACATTCATTATCTTCTTAAAATAACCCGAGGAAGCATTTACTCGCATGTTTAAAGTAATTCGGATCGAGTCATTCTTTTACACTTGGTTTTATTTTAAAGTACAAGTGGATATTTCTTCTTTTTTTATATTTAGAATACATTTCGTAATGTATTTCTGTGGTCATATTTCGATTTCGTTTTACTTTACTAGCGTGTAAAAATACTTGTTGCAGTCTGCATCAATCAGTATTAAATTCAAATGGTATTTATTCGACTTCTTTACATTGACGATTAGTAGATTGAATGATGCACCTAAAATAAAAAATAGTTAAATGTTTTAACATGTAAGTTTTAAGAAGCTGACGTTTGTTCCTTTAACAAAGTGAAAGAGAGAACAAATATTTTCCTGATGTATAAGTACAAATACGAAAAAGTGAATTTATCTGTTAATGACATTGTAAAGGCTAAAATAATCCGACGAGAAATCTATAAAAATGATATTACGGAATTTGATAGGCAGATGCACTCCACTGCAAAATTTTTAAACTACATCATCATAATAAGGTCCTCAGTCCTGGTTGGACAACGCAGGATAAGATAGAGTGGAGCTATCCTGAGCCAATCTTCGCATTTCCCAAAAATTAGAACATCTAACATCCTTAACGATTTGCGAACAGTAATCTAATCTAGGTCTATCTCTACCCTTCCTAACTCCCGTTTCTGCCTCTAATATGCCTCAGACTAGACCTTCATGCCTGAGAAGGTGTTGTACTAACCTACTTCATCTTTTTCTTATTGACTTCCATAGAGTCCTCTGTTCTCCTATTCTTACTAATACCTCTTTATTTCTAACCTTTTCTATCTACGGTATCCTTATCATTCGCCTGTAACACCACATTTCGAACGCTTCTGACCCTTCCTTTTCCGCCGCGCGTTTTAACCGTTTGCGAGCATATAAGTGACTTCTTTTTATTGAAAGCGACTCAATCTTGCGCCACCCTCTGTTTTATATCCCTACTACTCTTTCCGTCCTGACTTATCTGACTTCCTAGATACCTAAAATCGGCCACTTCTTCTAATGTTTCGTCTCCTATCTTTATATTCGCTCTTTCCCTACTTTTTCTTCCCTTGCATACCAGTATTTTTGTTTTACATTTATTTATTTTCATACAATACTGTTTTGTCAATACCGCTCCCTTTTCATTTAAAGCTATTTCTAACTCCTCCTTGCTAGATGCTAATACTGCTATATCATTTACAAATCTAAGCAAACTAAAAGCTACAATATGTATTGGCAACTATACATTAGAAGAAATCGACATTTAAAGGGGGGTAGGCCAGGGGTGCGTTCTACTGCCGATACTCTTCAATATATACGCTGGAAAAATACTTTAGAAAACGAAGAAAGCGGAATAACGGTTGGGGGAATATGGGTGAATACTTGAGATACGCGGAGGATGCAGTGATCTTGGCGGAGAGTGTCGAAGATCTACAGAGACTAATATATAAACAGGGCAAGAATGGATAATAGATATAAAATACCAATAATATGTGGTACTTATAAAAAGAAGCCTTACCTTTTGCTTCCAAAAAGTAAAGCAATTCCTTCAAGGTATATGCACAAAAAAAGCAAAAAAAAAACTGCGTCGAGGATTTGCTTTAAACTAAAAGGTTTTACATAATTTGTATTTATAAAAAAAAGCATCTGCTCAAAAAATAACGGATTTGCTTTTAAAAAAAGGGATCTAGGTTTACAATAACTTTTCTCGCTCTTTTCTACTTTTGAGTAACTGCTGATGCATCACATAGCTTTTAAGGTAATGTATTTCTAGGACTGTTGTGTTAAAATCCATCTAAAAGGACTTGTATAAGTAATCTTTAATTGTGTGGTCCCAGTGTTGTGCTTGTTGTGGCTGATATGTGACATTTACATTCAAGAAAATACTACAAATCAAGTCATACATCACGAGAATCAGATTTTAAAACGTTATTTAGATTTGAGGAGGAGAATGTCGTGTGGTTGACGGACCACTTGGCCACGTGGAGCAGCCTTCTGTTACCTGTACAGAAAATGAAAATGTTTCTGGGTTATTGTGCGAACCATTTTCAATTTGCTAACTTTTAATACTGCACAAGTAAATCAGGAATGTATTAAACAAATAAAATTAACAGCTGTCACGGAACACACACACGTTGATTGCACAATGCAAATTTCAACTAGTTTGTCGAAGTCGTTAGGAGGTAATCTGTACCTTTTACTTTATTAATCCGCAGCATAGATTATGAATAAGTATTGTAGTAAAAGTTTTTACTTCTACCTTTTACTTGAAAGTAAATTTATTTTTATGAATACGACCTACTGAAAATATGCTCAGGTGCCAAAGTTATGATGATTATTTCAGACTAAATAAACAATTTCAATCTCTATTAAATTGTAAGTATAAGGATACGCTTCATATAGGTACCTACCTATGACTCGTAGTAAAATTTGTTACATAAAGTGTTAGGTACCATCAACAGTTTGATTCAGTCTTTTTCGTGTCTAATTTATCTTTCACGATACTCTTCATTGGAAAATCAAACGAAGAGAAAATAAAAACAAACATCGTTTAGTTGCACAATATGTAAGTGTGTATAAAGTGTTGCAGATAAAACAGTTTCATACACTGTACACTGATGGTTTTGAAGATGGAAAATAAGTGGCAAAGGTCCGCTATAAATAATCGTCACATTGTTTCCAATAATATTTTTTAAGTTTGTTGCCCAAATATTCAAAATATATGACGACGGAATCATTATATCATTTATTTTTCATCAGCGAAATATTTCTTTGTTACCAAATATTTTTGAATGTTTACATTAATTTATTAGTTATTTCACAGATCAGAAAAATACGATTACGTAAATTAATATGATTTATTTCTATTTATCCAATGATGCAGATAATGAATTCACGAATAGCAGAAAATTGAAACATGTATCACATCCAGGGGCGCAACAACGTTACAATTTGACTGGGTGCTCACCAAAAAAAGTTCTCATCATAATATATAAATGACTAAAAAAAAAGGTCACTAATGGAAATAATTGGAAAAATCGAAAAAAATAACTTCGGCTGCTCTCATCATAATACTATAAATGACTAAAAAAAAGATCATTTCGGCTGTTCATTTACGAACTTGAACTATTTGAACCGAGTTATTATCTGAATCGACTGGAATTGACTGGGTGCCCNAACCCAAATCGAGTGGGTGCCCAACCCAATCGAGTGGGCGGCTGGGCACCCGTGGAGCCCCCCTTGTTGCGCCCCTGATCACACCCGTTTCCAAGTTTTTGTTTTTATTATTTTAAAAATGGTTTTATTAATTAATTATTAAACACTCATTCTATTGTGGTGATTATATCGTTATTTGATGTTTTAATTAGAAAAGCAGTAAATAAATATTTTGAAAAAGCTTTGATTAAAATATGTATCTGATTTAATGGAAAACTGAGAACTATGATAAAGCTCCCAAATTATGATTAATATTACGAATAAAATACCAGTTACTCAAGAAGTACACTGAAATTTTTAGTGGTTAATATTAAATATAAATTTGGAAATTTATTGTTAATTTTTAGGATTCCGTACCCAAAGGGTAAAACGGAACCCTATTACTAAGACTCCATTGTCCGTCTGTTCGTCTGTCACCAGGCTGTATGTCATCATCAGTTGAAATTTTTACAGATGATGTATTTCTGTTGTCGGTTTAACAACAAATACTAAAAACAGAATAAAATAAATATTTAAGTGGGGATCCCATACAACAGACATCATTTTTTTGCCGTTTTTATAGATAATGGTACGGAACCCTTCGTACGCGAGTCCCACTTGCACTTGGCAGGTTTTATTACTCACTATAAGTCACCTCAATTTTTTCTTCATTAATTTAAGGTAACTTATAATGAATAAAAATTGAGAATGAATTAATATTTGATAGTTTAACTTATTTTTTTAGAATTATCTGCCAAAAAATAAGACCATAAAATAGTTCTTGCTATGAAATCGTATATTTTAAGAACCTATACATCATTTTCATCATAAGGTCGTCAGTCCTAAGACTGGTTGGACACGTACCTCCACTCTTTTCTATCCTGAGCTAATCTTCGCATTTCCCTAACACTAGAACAACCCACATCCTTAACTATTTGCGAACAGTAGGTCTAGGTCTACCTCTACCCCTCCTAACTCCTGTTTCTGCCTATAATATGTCTCTGTCTAAACCTTCATGCCTGAGAAGATGTCCTACCAACCTATCTTGCCTATTTTTTATTGACTTCCATAGAGTCATCTGTTCTACTGTTCTTTCTAATACCTCTTTCAAATATTTAAAAAATTCTAAATTAGTCGAAAACTGTGAGATTTTTGCAATCTATATCTGAAACAGTGATAGTTTTTCTTTTGTTTAATCATAGTGATTCACTTTTTCATTTGATTTTCAAGAGTTTTAGACACGAGCAAAAATCCTAATTTTTCCTAAATCCTACACATTAAAACATCGATCTATTAATATTTTTGTCTCTGTTTTAGATGGGAATCGCAATTGGTTTTCTTATTCCTCCAATGATTGTTAATTCTGCAGATCAAGCATCTAGAACACACGAACTTTACATTCTGTTTGGATCTACGGCTGTGATAGTCACTTTTGTGTTGATGCTGATCCTTATATGTGAGTTATATAATTTGTTTGAAAAATTAACGGTGCTATTTGAAATTGATTGAAACTTACATTTAATGACATTTTCTACGTTTCTAAATCACTCTTTAACCTAAATTTTCACATTCTACGATATTTCTCCGAAGATGAATTACTGTGAAAATGGTGTAAATAATGTATTCTTTTTTAACAGAAAATGTTTACTTACCTCCAATTTTGGTTTCATCTTTTAGTAATGTTTTTTTTTTGAAATCCTTTTCCCTTTCTCCTTTCCCGTAGTATCGCACTCACCGCGCATGTTTGGAGACATATGCAGAACTATTACCGTTTTAAATTTTTAATTATTAATAGTGGTTAATATGAAATGTTAATGTGAAAATTCAATTTCAATTTTCCATCCACTACAAACTACCTGAGGTTAATGAGGGAAAATTTTTGTTGCTGTTGTCACACCCCTGACGCGAATCGAACCCGGGACCTTTGGCTTTACGCATCACTAAGATACGAGAGATGACAAGCTTAGGGGTCGATTCCCGGCGGGGGTGTGACAACAGTAAAAAAATGTTTCCTGTATTAACCTGAGGTAGTTTGTAGTGGATGAAAAATTGAAAATAAATTTTCACATTAATATTACCGTTTTTTAGTTTTTTCTATGGTTTTCTTCGGAATCGTCTAATACGAGGGTGGATTGATAAGTTTCCGGCCTAACCAAGAGATGACGCCACTAGGCCTACCTTGAGGTGACATTCTATAGTACCATCCTTGGATAGCTTGTAGCTATAGTTTCAGCCCGATCTCCTTGCTAGTGTAGGTTTGACAGCACGCTGAACAAGACGCCTCTGTGGTTTTCGTAAAAATGGAAAAGCAGGAAAATCGTGCTGTCATCAAATACTTTTATTTGAAGGGGTTAACGCCGAAGGAAATTAAAAAAGAGATGGACTCAACACTGGGGACATCCTCCCCGTCATATTCAACCGTTAAGCAGTGGGTTTCCGAGTTTAAAAAGGGTCGTGTGAGCACCTCTGATGGGCCTCGCTCAGGACGCCCCGTTGAGGTCACAACTCCAGATATGATCGAAAAAATTCATCAAATAGTGCTGGGAGACCGCAGATTGAAAGTGCGTGAGATAGCTGAGACCTGTAAGATGTCATATGAACGTGTGCAACATATTTTGCACCAACATTTGCATATGGAAAAGCTCTGTGCAAGATGGGTGCCGCGTTTGCTAACAGTCGACCAAAAATTGATTCGAAAAAACATTTCTACCGCAAATTTGTCATTGTATAAGCGTAATCCAAGCGAATTTTTGCGTCGATTCGTAACCGTTGACGAAACGTGGGTCCACCACTACACTCCTGAAACCAAAGAACAGTCTAAACAGTGGATTGGACCAGGGGAACCAACTCCAAAGAAGGCAAAAACAATTTTTTCGGCGAACAAGGTTATGGCTACTGTTTTTTGGGATGCAAGAGGTATTATATACATTGATTACCTTGCAAAGGGTAATACTATCACTGGTCAATACTACGCAGACTTATTGCAACGTTTGAGCCACGAGGTGAAAATTAAACGACCTCATCTGGCGAAGAAAAAAATCTTGTTTCATCACGATAACGCACCAGCGCACACGTCAATCGTTGCGACGGCTAAAATCAACGATCTAAAGTTTGAATTGATGCCGCACCCTCCTTACTCTCCAGACCTAGCCCCGAGTGACTATTTTCTGTTCCCTAATCTCAAAAAATGGCTTGGCGGTAAGAGATTTGCGGACAATGAAGAAGTAATCGAAGCTGTAAATGGTTATTTTGAGGAGCTTGACGAATCAGTCTATAGAGATGGCATTAATAGACTTGAACACCGCTATGAGAAATGTATCAGCCTTGGAGGAGATTATGTTGAGAAATAAAAAAAAAAAATTTTTAAAAACCTTGTTTTTCTTGGTCAGGCCGGAAACTTATCAATCCACCCTCGTATCTTCATGATATCCCCGACATCTCATGATACTCTACACCCTTCGATTTCCTTCTTCAAGAGTCCCAGACATTTCCAGTGGTTTACCCCTCGACCCTCGTGCATTTATTTGCTTGTCTATTTGATTTTGTTATTAATACCCTTTTAGTTTTCAAAGAAGAACCACCAACTCCACCCTCCTTAGCTCAAGTACAAGCAAAACGTGAAGACTCTGTTGATTTCGTACAATCATTGAAGCGATTATTATCAAATCTTCATTACGTATTATTGCTCATATCATATGGTATTAACGTAGGAGTATTTTATGCAATATCAACCCTTCTTAATCAGATTGTCCTGAAATATTACCCGGTAAGTATTTTCATCTTCAAGAATGTCTGAAAAATACTATATACATAGAAAATAAAAAATATATATCTACTTATTTGAACAATATATCATCGAAAAATCTTTTTTCCATATTATTAACAAATTAATGTATTGCGCATTGCTTTAGAAAAGAAATTTTTGCATGCTTCATTTCATTATATATTTGGTTTTCTGTGCCGATTTTCGTGTTCGAAGATATACCCAATACTGTGTCTACCATACGTTTCGTCTCTTACTATAGAAAATATCTTCAGTCGAAGTGTTGACAGTGTATTTAAACTATTAACACTGTCTATACACTGTCTTTCTTCCTCATTTCAGAATTAGCAGTTCGGAATTCGCTTCCTATTCATTTCGTTTTTTTCTTTTTTCTGCTTTTTTTACTTCATGGATTTCTAGCACTTCTTTGTTTCTTTTCTTGAACTTTGTCAAAAAGCTTCCGAATCAGTTGTGTCGCACAAGGAGAAATTTGACACCAGCGAGAAAATATTACAACAACAGAGGAATTAAAGATAAAAGCACGCAACAATTTGCTAAAGAAATGGGAACTCTAGCGGGACTTATCTTTCTCACTAGGAGCTCCTCAACCTGTACGCTTCCCGCTGGTTAGGACTTTAGGCCGGAGGGTCGTATACCAGAATGGAGTTAACCACTTTCTGAAGAGAGCTGAGTGATTCGGATATGAGTCACCTACGCCTTTCTAGCTACTTGGGTGACATGCACTTTAAAGGATCATCTCTTGTCGACTCATACTTCCAGATACTTAAGACATCTCTAAGCGGGACCTCAAAGTTGTTGAGTTCTAGCGCAATCCCAGTCTTCTGCTCAGCCTCCATAAGCTCACTGTTCTTCATCCATCTGCTTGGGCTTATCAAACATTCAAAGATAAATCTTTACGTGACCAATTTTCTTTATTAAACCTTACTTATATAATCTTATGGTATAAAGCTCCTTGAGGAAAACCTTTGTGTCATCATGTTGTTAAATGTAGAATTTAGGATATAAAACGTTTGGTAGACAAACTAATCGCTATTATCGGTCACGGTTTTATCTTTGTGTAATTTTTTATTATATATGTTAACGGAAATGCGTGTAATCCATCATTGAATACAATTTCTAGGAAATGTGTAAGGATATGTGTGTATTAAATAATCTTTGAAACAATATTTTATAGATATCCTAAATAGCCTCGGAATTGTATACATTTCCTAGGAATTATATGCAATCCCAAATTTCATACATTTTCGGTGACATATGGAAAATAATCTTTCATTTAAAGGATAAGCTATTTTTAACATGTTGAATATTTCTTTAGAACGGGTCTGCAGATGCTGGTAGAATAGGCTTGGTGATTGTATTAGCAGGAATGGTAGGGTCTGTGATATGTGGCTACTTTTTGGACAAATATCATAAATTTAAGTGAGTCTTTACTTATTCTATACAAAGAGAAAATAAAAACGTTTAATTGACAATGTTTTAGGGAAACAAACATGGCTGTATATGTATTTTCACTCATTGGAATGGTTGTGTTTACTTTTACATTAAACAGCGGCATAGGGGTTGTTTACTTTACATCAGGATTACTGGGGTAAGTTTAAATGTTATATTTTACATTATTCTTTTTTATTTTTTTTTTGTAATTATTCCTATGAAATAAAATAATTCGAAGTGGTCTGTATTCTGTCGAAACTGCCAGACGCGGATCGCGATTTCGATTTTATTGGATCTCATCAGCGCGTCGCAGGCAGCTCCGACAGAACACAGACCAACTTTTACCTGCTGTCTTAGCAGTGCGTTTCAGAAAAGTGGACCTTGTTGAAAAATACGTAATCCTAAAATGTATCATCGTGTTACAGATGGCGTTCACTGTGCCGTTTGTAGTATTTTCTGAAATTCCTATGAAAATTAATGTAAAACTTATCTATACAGTTTTGAAACATTAAGTATCAAATATTACTTAAGTTTACAAAAAAAGCTTTTTCCAAATAATTTGATAAATACTTCTCTAATTAATTACTATTCAAGTAAATAGTTTACGTCTTCCTATCGTAGTGGTCATACAATAGGTCAGGTCACGGTCACGGTCTGATTTCAGACAAACAAAATATTGTAGCATATACCTACTTTGTATGACAGTCTTCACTTTAGTAGGAACGGTTAAGCAACGGTCTGGTCAACTAACCGCTGTACTTCCCCACAACGAAATCTTAAAACATGCGTGTTATAGATTTATTAGAAAATTAACTTTTTTATATAACCGTAATAAACAAAGAAAAAAGTCTCAGAATATATTTATTCATAAAACTGTGTAGTTCTTTTTATGTCCATTTGAAAATGATTGATTCAAACAATTGTAGAGCTTTTCTGAAACATTATAAAGTATTTTTTCATTTTTTATATTACATTTTTATATTATTGAAAAGCAGTTGAACATTTTTAAAAATTTCCTCATTTCACTCTTGCCTGCTCCCGTATAATGTGAATGATGGCATATTTGATCTGATCGTGAAGATCTGTGATCAGACAGTAACTTGACCTATAGTATGAATCGGCCTAGAAAGTTTATAAAAAGGTATAACTCAAAAATTAATGTTTTTCATGATTTATTGTTGTTAATGCAGATTGAACAAACAGTAGGAAAAAAGTTCTAGCTCTTTTGTTTTTTGAAATAAGGAGAGAAAATTAACTTTAATATATCAACGCAAGCTGTGGTAAAAGTACTGAAACGGGTTAATAACTCGAAACTTAAGGGTTGAGTAAAATCTATATAAAAGTTGTACAATTTCGTCTTAGTTAACATTCGTCATTTCGTTGCAATTTTAATAAGGATTAATAAAAATGTGAATATTTCGAATGAACTGTATGATTTACTGTACAAGTTTCACTTTCAATGAAGAGATGAGAGAATAAAATAATTGAAAGTGGTCTGTATTCTGTCGAAACTGTCAGGCGCGGATCGCGATTTCGATCTTTCCGGATCTCATCAGCGCGTCGCAGACAGCTCCGACAGAACATCGTACTACAGATGGCGTTTACCGCGCCATTTGTAGTATTTTCTAAAACGCGCTGTTAAGACAGCAGGTAAAAGTTGGTTTGTGTTCTGTCGGAGCTGCCTGCGACGCGCTGATGAGATCCAAAAAGAACGAAATCGCGATCCGCGTCTGGCAGTTTCGACAGAATACAGGCCACTTCGAATTATTTTATTCGATTATGGTAACGTGCCTATCACGTTGAGGTTAGCTACGGCGGGATTCGTTTCAGCAAGTAGATATCCATATATTTAAATGGACCTTGTTGGAGCATACGTAATCCTAAAATGTAGCATCGTACTGCAGATAGCGTTTACCGCGCCATTTGTGGTATTTTCTAGATGAGAGAATATTAACATAAAAAGGAGTTTTTAGACATTTCAACCTGTAGTGAATAATTATGTCACTGTCCGAGTTGATTTGATGATTTTATTTCAACTATTTAGATGTGGATGCTAAGTGTCGTTATTTAATTCATCAATAACACCATATTTTCAGATTCTTTATGACTGGTCTCATGCCAATCGGTTTCGAATTGGCAGCAGAACTGACATTCCCAGAACCGGAAGGTACTTCCGCTGGATTACTTAACGCAGCGTCACAAGTCTTTGGAATAGCATTTACGAATATTTATTCCGTTATATTCGAAAATGTAGGAACGACATGGTCGAATATTGTAATGAGCATCTTTTTGCTTTTAGGGGCTATTTTACTTTTCATTGTTAAACCGATGTATAGGCGGCAGAATGCCCAGTTCGATGCTGAAGTGATCAAAAAGTAATTTTGTGCAAAGTCCCATTTTACGCAAATTATAATACAGTTTGACCAAGGTGATAATTAACCTATATACTTTTTTAATAAGAAAAAATAGAAACAGTTTTGGTCGTTACAAATTTTGCAAAGGGAATGAATGAAATATTATCCGTGGACATGCATTTTAGACTGATTAAATAAGCCAAATTATTCTTTTAAACATTGAGTCAGTTTTAAATTTTTGATCGGACGAGAAGGGTTGATCCTTCGGCAAATCATTGTGATACATATCTAATAAGAAGGATATTGAAAATAGATGTGTTGAGAAATATCAATTATTTAAACCCTAGACTGTTATATTTTTAGAATTAATATTTTTCCGAATGCTTTTAAAAAGTAAACCAATCTATCATTAGATTTATAGCCAAATTCTAAGACTTATTTTTTTAATAGATAAGTATCTACTTTGCTACATACAACAAATCAACTATTTACAGTTTTTAAATGAAATTAATTGGATTGCAACCTTTTGATAACCTTGACCCTGAAATATGTCATTTTTCAATATCGATACCTATGAGTACATATGCACCTACATTTTAGACGCAAAAGCCTCCTTCAGATTTTCCTTAAATTGAAATCTACGTAATTGAACCTAGTCTTAAAATTAAAACGATTTCGTAATGTTAGATTTGGTTAGGTTGGGGTAGATTTCGATCAGATTAGGTAACGGGTAATTTTCTGAGTTGTTCTAAATCTCATAGAATATCCCCAAAATGGCATTTTTTAAGTTCAAGGACATGGGAAGGATGTAAGCCAATGTAAATAATTTCTAAGCAAGCAGAGTTAGAGTTTGCGTTTTGTCCTAATGATGAGTGAGAAGTGTACTTTTGCATGAAAAAACAGAAAAATTTAATGTGTCAGAATTTTGAAAACCTATTTTTGCAGAAGATTTTAGGAAGACCCTGTATATTGCCGTATCTAATAAGTAAAGCATGTATTGGAAGCTATAATTTTGCTATTACTGTCTAATTAACGTAATGTCTTGTGATATATTAGGCCTAAGAGAGAGATAGTGGTTTTTCATATTTACTGTAAATATTTATTTAAGAAATTGCGCTCTTTGAAACGGTCCAAATGGAATAATTTATTTTATTTTCATATTCGGGGAAATGTTAGCGAGCACTAAACTGGGTGAAATTTAGTACACAATAAAACGAACAAAAACGAAATTCCAGACATATCTTCCATACTTTACTTATTGATATTAATATCTAACGTATAAAACTATTAGAACAGTTTTATTATAGTTATGTTCACCTCTGAGACGAACGCACCTATCTATTGTATTATAAAATAGTTAGTGCAGAAAAAAACAATTGTACCTGTATTTAAATATATCTAGAAAACGTAGTACATGTAGGTCTAGAAATAGTGATAGATTAGGTATAGATAGTATAAATAAATGGATGACTGAAGGCAAAAAGATAGTTCAGTGGTTTCTAATCATGTTTTATATTAAATGATAACAAATCCATCAAACCAATTCTCTCTTTTATGTGTAATTATATTTATATTTTGTGCTAACTTAGTATGCCAACCACTTTAGGCAAACTATCGTAGAAACTAGTGATGAGCAAAATTGGTTTTAGTCTTGTAGTCTTGGTCTTACGAAAATGCATACTATTCTTTTATATTAATCATTAATTATTATCAATTAGTCAATTATTGGAGGAAGGGCCAATTTATTCATTGGGGGAAGGGTATGTTCTCGAGTTTGTATGATAGAAAATTTCAGCAATTAAGACAAGTCTAGAAATATTGGAGTAAGACCAAGGCCAAGAATAAATAAGTAAGGCCAAGACCAATACTAAGACCGGGACAGTCTTGATCTAAGCATTTTGGAAAAGAAAAATGTTCTCGTTTCTCTCAGCCAATTTCATCTTAAAGAAAATACATTTGAGAACAAGGTAGAGAATTCGTCAGCACATCTTCATAATAATTATTATTTATGTTATTATAAACTAATTAGACAAGGGCAGTTGGTGAAACAGGAAAGTTGATCAAACGAGAGTTGACGAATGGAAACTAACATTTCGATCGTTTGGGTATCATTTGGCGTGAGTTATCATTAGAAATCAATGAACTATTGATCTCTGAAATCGCCCATTTATTATTCTATCTATCACCCTCTGTAGGTATGTTTAATGTGTGTGATTAATGCTGTCTCGATTTGATAAATAGTTCATCTCCGTTTACATCATGTAGACATTGTCCTGCCAGTATTAGTGGTAAGCTTTACATTAGCAATAGCTTTAACATATCTTTTAAAACTACTTATTGCATATCAGCCTAATTAGAATAGCGACTGTCGATGCGCTAGTCGGTACAATAAAATACTATTTCCTTATGTGATAGGTGGTTATCTGTAGTAAGTACCAACAATAAGTAGAAAAAAATGTGAGTACAATTTTAAAATTTTAATATCGTAAATTATGGAAAATTCTATTGAGACTACATTTTTTAATTATATTGAACAATTTTGTATTGTCAAGTTTTGTTAACACTGCTTCAAATTTAATGTAGGTACATAAATAAATTCACTAAAGGGTGTTACTAAAAAATATAAGTATTTAGTAGAGGAAATAAGAACTTTTCTCTGAGCTTTTCAATCTTTGGTTACAACCCTAACACTAAAATGAAAGCGTTCATTAAATGAGTGTACGTTATCCAAAGATTCAAAAGTGCCCAAAAATAATATAAATATATTTTAACTTCTTTGGCAAATTAAATTAAATATATTAAATTTAAAAGCAGTAGGATTTCTAATTTTTATGATATTCTTTCAATTA